AACCACTGAAAGTGCTTCAGCGATTTTAAATTTGGTACTGTTAGGTTATTTTTAACCTCATCATAATTAGCTTTGCAAACAGTCGAACAGCATTTTGCACATGTTTCTGCCACAAGTACAGCACACAGTTGACAAAAGTATGAAATTTCAATATTTTGTTTAGTATTTATTAAAGAACAATTGTAATTGTAATTTCTTCGATTCAGAGTAATATTAATCAATACTTGTTATGTTCTTCACAAATTTCCAACCCCCCAGTATAAACTCCATTACAAGAATTGTCCATACCTCCAGCAGATGATTTCCAGTTTAAACTTATCATATAAATAGTATGTCATAAACCTATTTAATTCTAGTTTAAAACTTAAAATGTATGTTTCTATTTTGAGTTTAAAACAGAAGTTGTGGAATAAATTTGAATGTAACCTAAAGTAGCTGGTATTTATCCACAATGTGTGCCACAATTTTAATGAAACCAGGCATCTGTGGCTTGTGAGCTTCATCACACACACAACACATGCACACAACAGTGTGACATACAATTTGGAACTTCATAAACCAAAGCTCTTTGTGCTATCTTAAAAATGTAATATTACATACAACTGTTTTCACACCTTTTAATATTGTATAGTATTCTATTGTGTTAAATGTTGAAGCTAATGTTTTGACTGCAATGATAACTTTACAACAGTTATTAAGCCATTCCTCAGTGTTTCAAATACTAACACTATATCACTTTGGTGGTAATATTGTTTTACAATAGTTATGCCTTCTGAACAAGTAGATGTACTGAACATGCAGGTAGACATGTGCTTTCAATTTCTTAACATTAAAAGTTTGATGGATAAAGAGAATAAGTTCTTTTATTATGTGATTATGTTATGTATAAAGGGGTGCTGAGTAAATTGCATAGATAATTAGTACCAAAGTCCAATTTCCAGATAGTAAGATATTAGTCCAACTGAAGGTGTTTTCAGAGAGCTGAACTTCATTTCTGAAACTACTCTGTATATTGATCAGGTCTGGTTTTATTTCATTTTATCTACTTGTACTCAAAAAATGTTGGTATAATGATGCAGTACATGGGCCACAGTTGATAAATTTAAAGGAATACAAAAAACATTACACTTTTGTATCAGTTCTCTGCTAGTGGAATTCAAGATTTTTGGTAGTAGTATTCAGTATTCCTATAATTAATCCATTTGTCCTCATTGTTTCATCAAGAGTGTTTCTGCATTTCTGAAACTCATTTCAAGCTCAGCCTATGACTGCTCCTTGACATGAGCTTGAACAAATAATATGTGTCTGTGTAATAATATTCTGGAAACACATATACTAGTTGCATCTTAAAACTGTCACTGATTTTTGTTAACACAGTAACAACCAAAATTTGCTTACCCAAAGGAATCATCAAGATGCATTTACTCATTCCCATTTTTAAGTACTTATCCATAGAGGCATCATCATATTGAAAAATTGAAATTCATGGTATCGGCTAATTTTTATTTACTGGCTTTATTTTAATGTAAACTGTGGGAGACATTTAAGTATTAGATATGTTGAGAAAGTGAAGTAATATGGCAGTTCTGCCAGACTTAATATTTTATATCTCAAAAACTATTCAACTAGTATCTTTCATGTTTTAAAGCAAAAAGAGGCTTGGTGGCAGTATAAAATGTTACCTTATTATCCTTCTAACTACATAGATTATTATCAGCCATCTTCACAGTGATAATATTTTAATCATATTCACATCATTCTCATACCAATGTCCTGTATTACCACAGTACATGCAAACTTGAGTGAAAGAGAAACCTTTACCTTGTTTTCTATACAGTAGGGCTATTAATGTTTCAGAGAGAACAATGTTGCCAGCATATGTTTGGCTTAGTGCATATGTGAATTTGTGGATTTGTTCTGCAAGGTTTACATCTGTTGGTCTCATATTAAGTTATAAAGCACAATGTACATATGGGGAGGAGAAGGCAGATATCAAAGGAACATACTTGAATATAGCCACTCACAGCCAAATACCACAGTACAAAGGAAAGTAGAAGACATCAGGGAGAGTCATTTGTTGTGTATCTTTCTTCTAACACATAGATATATTTAAGTGTACAACCAGGTGTGAAGAGAGAATTTGTGTTTTGATATATAAAATTTACATTTATACTCCATGAAGTTAAAGCACTGATGATACTAATCATAATCAAACATTGTATTTGAGTGGCTAGCTGCTTCATATTTTGGAGGTCCCATGTTCACATTTTGGCTCTGAATGAGGTTTTTGTGGTTTCACTCAGTTCTTCCAGACAGACGACAGGACAGTGCCTTAAATTAGGCCACAACCACTCCCTTCCACATCCTTTAATCATCCTACAATTTTGATGCTGTATAGTTCGAACTACTGATAGCATTGTTAAATAATAAATAAAAAAGGCATTACAGATCTGAATTTTTTATGTTGTAGTATTTTAATTCAAACTATAATTAGTATTTCCATTTGCTCCCACATAACATCAGTGCACGGATGAATATGCTTTAAAATTGGTCTCATTGACTGAAATGCTAATACATAATGTCTTTTGTTGGTGCTGATTTGTAGAACCTGGCAGAACTGTCACTTGTTACTTTAACCTGTCACTTGAACAATGCTGCCAGTTCTACAGATTTAGCATCAACAAAAGACATAATGAATGGAAAATATGGAATGTGAGCACATTTTAAATGTTAATCTCGCAATTTTTAACAATCTTATCATATGTACAAAGTCATAATATTCTGTGCCTGATATTTTAACACCACTGTGATGCTCACAACAAATAGTTTTCTCAGATATTAAGGCTTGAAAATGGAAAATTTAGTTTGAAACATATATCACTGTTGGATTATGTTAAATGAGTACGTGCATAAATTTATTTATCCATTATTGTTGTGTGAAGATGAGCAATTAATAATATTTAAAAATTTTAAATTTGTAATTTACATTTAAGAAATTGCTGCTTTCCTCATTCTGTTTGCTTGTCATCACACTAATACAGCCTGTATTCTGCCTGGCCAATTTGTGACATATATATTAAAGCAATAAAAAGAAGTTTCGTATATTATTTAGGGTTTTTACATCATGTTCCCCCTTTATGGGCTTACAGCACTGTTTTCACACAAATTCTCTCAGAACACCTGGATGCTCGTGGGGTAACAGAAAACCACACCAACCTTAACCTCTCACATTCTGTACCTGGCTGCTGCAAATTACAAAACAGAAGCATTTGTCTCTCTTTTAAATGAGAGAATACTGTAGCAAGTTTGTTTTTATATATATACTTTAAAAATGGCATTTTTGTTTTTAAGTAGTTATTTACTTGGAAATTTAAAATGTATAAATAGGAGATTTGGATATGTTGTTCTTTTGAAGGTAAATGTAACCAGTTCACACACATTCGTTTTGATACAACTTGCAAAAATAACTCCTGGTAATACAGAACTGAAACAGTTTTAACAAACATTTTCTTGTGTTTAGGCATAGACTTTTTTCTTACATACATCCCTGTCACATTTATAATGACAAGACAAACAAGGAGTTACACACATTTCCACAGACTTTTTGGAGACACAAAGACACATTTAACAGCATGAACAGCTTCTTGTTATACGAGTAGAATAAAGATATTTGTTTAGAAAGGACAACAGCCACAGAAGATTGAAACCAACATCACACTAATCGTAACATTTTATTATTTCCACTCATATTCACTTTACTTTTTATTTTTGAGGAAAAGGTGTTGTATCTATGGTTTTTGTTTCACTGTTTCTGAAGGTATCAGGCTGCCTTAAGAACTTTGTTACTAATGTAAATTTTGTATATCTGTTATTTTCAATTGCATTGCCAATTGTCCTTATACTTTAAAAGGGTGTAAGTTGCATCAGCAAATAGTGATTGTACTGGAGTGAGTAGGAGAACCATGTGGAGAAGCTGGCATCAGTGTTTAAACTTTTTCTTTGTTGGCAAACCATAGTTGTCTGTCAAGAGCACTTATTTTAAATTAATGGGTGTTATTAAGATGTATAATTTTCATTGAAACATTATCTTTGTGGTATCCATTAAATGCAGTACATGGGAAATTTATAGTAGTTTGGATAATGATCATTTATTGATTTTAATGTGTTCTTCATGCTCTAGTTTGAATGAAGAACACCTTATTTGGTTTGAAATGGGATGGTTCACCAGCTGTTCCAGTACATTTTGATGTTTCTTTGGGTTCCTACAGAACATTTTAATGTAAGGAATTTCAATGCTGGTGTCAGTATTTTGGCATCAGATTTATGTGTCGTGCTTTATCATTACCAAACATTGTTCAAAATATCATATACTTCATTACAGAGCATCCTGATTTACCTTCGTCACAAAACAGTTTATGAAAGGGAGTTTTACTATGCAAAACAATCCTCAATTTATAAAACATATCTATTGAACAAATATATAATTGGTTTGTATTGAATCTCACTCATTGAAAGTGGAACTGTCATCATATTTCCTGCCCCACAGTTGATTGATTATAATTAATGTTAAATTGTGTAAAATTATTAATCAGTAAAAATATTTTCTGTAGCATAAAATTGAAAAAGAATGACATTATTTTGGGCCACACACAACACTTCTTGCAAGATATCTTGTTTTCACATACACTATCCAAATTGGTGACAAATTATCATTGATATTGTTCATCACACTTTCCTGGGAAAAATTGATTTTGTGAATTAATGAGCAGAAGTCCACAACAGTAATTTGTAATAATGGTTTTTGTTACAGTTTGTTCTAAAGTTATTAAAATTTATATTAATATGCTTTCATGGCTTTGAAATTATTTTATCTTTCATAGGTAAATAGAAAATTGCAGTACTTTAACATATTAAATATGATTCAAATTTTTACATTATATTATGTTTTTATGTGGAGAGCTAACTTTGCTGATGTTTTAAGTGAATTTATGAAGAAATCTTACAATTTTACATTTGATTATGAGAAAGTTTCTTATTTCTTTATGGTAATAAAGAGTCCATTCTCAAGTACCATGCGGTTTCTTAAAAATTTGTTAAACATTGATTATGGTATTCCTTCAGTTTGGAAGCAATTTCTCTCACATGTACACATGTGTGAACGAGCGCGCGCACACACACATTAATCCAACCCATCTGAAGAATATTATCAGTAGCCACCAAACGGGTTCTATCTCAAATGAAGTGTGAAGTGTGAATAGTCATCATTTTTGTTTTTATGTCTTCACAAAAAAAGATGTCATTATATAAATTGCCACACATTGTTTCAGGCACATCTTATTGCTACTTGATAAACTTCACAAAAGATATAACTGGCCTTATGAATAAAACAAAGGATATGCAGTTGAAGTGATATGTTTTTCTTTTATATATTGTTGTGTGAGAAATTGACGAATAAATTGTATTTCCTTTCACTTTTGCCATTATCAATTTGCTATATAGGATTATTCAGTGAAACTACAGGTTATTAAAGACAGGAATTTTATGTTTGTATTTCAGAGATGCAGGGATCAATAAGGTAATTGAGTTTTGAGACAGTTTTGTTCTAATAATGATGCCAGTTTCATGTATTTGAAAGAGCTGACCTTACTGTACAAACCAATTACATTTTAAAATTTTAATCCTATGGATTTCAATTGACATATTCCACCTTGGATGGTTTCATTTACATTATGTAATTTGTTTATTTTATATTTAAATAAATTAATAAGCGTGTAGTTGTTAACAATACAGCCTTGTTCCAGCACGATTACTTTAGGTCCGCAGTAACAATGATGAGGGTGGTGGTTATAATGACAACTGATATTGCCAGTGATGACTCAAGACACCATGTACAACCCAAAACTTACCAGTCCTCTTATGTATCTTTATTAGCAACATAGGCATGAACAGAAAATAACATATAGTGTGCATTCATTTTTTTATATTGAAATGGGCCTTTCACACAGGCATTTTATGATTGTTTTATAGTTAAATACATTGTGCTTGCCTGTGTTGGAAGGTCATTGCTGATTACAAGAGATGATATGTGGAGAGATCTAGAACTTATCATTTCATTTACCTGTTTTTTTGAAAATGTTGGTTGCCCTTTTATTCTGTTTTGTGTAATGTTTAATGTCAAAATGTAGTTGTAGTCCGAATGTGGTAATTGTGTTTGAAGAACTTGATGAAGACATCTGTGATTGTGCATGTTGTATTGAAGTAAGAACAAGTCTAATTTTATTTGATCTTATGATTTTTATAACTTTTTTGTTAACTGCTGGTCAAACTTATTTTGTTTTGGTGTCTAAAATAATATTCATGTTCTTAATTTATTTATATTTCATCATTGCACATATATTGAAACTTCTAATCTTCCAGAACACAGTGATGAGTCCAGATTGTGTAGTTTAACTTAAAGTACTTTATCGAATTATGTTGAAGTTATATAGTGAATCTAAATTTATGAATTTTTAGTGCACTTTTCAAAATTTTGTGTTACATTTTCAGTATTTTGAGGCATAAATTTTCGTTAAGTTCTTGTTTGGTTAATTGAATGTATGCTACAGGTTATTTTGATTTGCATTTAATTTTTACCACATTTGTGATTACTTTTTATTGAGTACTAGGTGGATAATACTTTTAGCAAAATTTGTAAATCAGCTGTTAAGCAGTTTTTTTCTTAATGCATTGCTTTAATGAATTTTAATCAAATTTAGAGAAAATCAGTCATCTTATATGCACATCACACAAATTCTGACAGTTTTTGATTTTTGATTTGATGAGAAAGTCACGATTTGATGTATTAGCGTGGGGTATATCATGGTGAATTACGTGACATGTTTGTAAAGTGAAGGTGGTGATGTAACATTGTTACAATATTATACAAAAATCATGTTTAAATAGCATTGTCATATCATGGTTTCCTCTGTCAGCTCGACAGTAATGTGGGGACTGGTAAGTTTTGGGCTGATGAAACTGCTTGATGCATCCTAAAGTGACCGAGCTTCTAGCAGGACTAATCACCCAGCTCATGACATACCTCCATATAGTCAGGATTGTGCATTATATCCTTGATCATGTCTTTGAGAATGGTGTAACGAGGGAAGATTGGGTACACCTTCGAATTCATGTACTCTGTCTGAAAGAAAGCAATATTTTTTAACATTTATTTCCTTAACACATGGGTTTGAGGAGGTCTCTTTATGTGTCATAAATGATACAGAAGATTCAGGAAATCAAAACAAGCTACTAAGACTTGTTTGTTATATAAATAACTTAGGCTACTGTGTACTGTGCATTCATTGTATAACAAAGCATAGTTTAAAGTGATTTCTGAGAACTTGTAGGAGAGCTTTGAAAAGCTTATATTGTAAGCCTGTAGAATGGATGGAATTTAATTACTTACCCTTTTTATGACAAAAAGATATAAGTTTTTTGCAGTTTCCTAGTGGATAGTGCAATGATATATTATGAATGTGGTAAATGAACAATGCAGCTTTCTTGCATGGAGTCTGTAAAATTGTTTCTACAAACTACAATTGCAGACATTTGCTCCATTGGTTGTGACCCACACAAGCTTTTTAAAGAAAGTTTGCTTTCAAAAACCTATGTTTTGAAGGTTTGATAAATATCTTTGTTTCTAATTTTTCTTTTTAATGGCAGAACTGTGAGAATTTCTTCCTATGTTGAATTATCATAGAATAGGAACCAAAATATTATTTAAAGGGGCACATACTCTGGCTACTGTGAGCTCATCTAGTTATAATGAAAGTAGTTTATCAGTGGGTCTGAATGCCATTCATGAACTGGATCTTTAAATTTATTAAAATGTTCTATATTGATCTGTTACTTGTATGCTGACAATTATAACATTTCTATATGAGTAGATAATACTTTGGTAGGCAATTATGAAATTTAAAAAATGTGTCTGCAGTAGATGCTCAGTAGTTTTTCATCCTGGAGTAGTTTTAATCTTTTTGACAACATATGAGTAGTTTAGAAATAAGATGGCTACCATTTTGGGGATTGGCTGGGATACCAAGTCCACATCATAAAGAAGTAGCAGGCCTCATAGTGTAACTTCATATAGTAAATATAAATTTTAATTTTTCGTCCTTTGGTTAAAAGTTATGGATTCACATAGCTGGAATGATCTTATGAACTTAATTTCTATTTAGGAAATTTGGCAGAATGAGGTCCATGAAGTTATCACAGCTAAAGTATCATAAAGCATGCAGACTTTATACAGGTAAAGCTTGCAGTAAGATCTGTACCAGTTATAGTAGCATACCTTTAGTTCTCGGATTAGGTTCCTCAGACCAGAGTACTTCTTCAGTAGGCGGTAGAGGTCATTGGTCATCTGTGTGTTCTCACTCTCAATCTGTAGGATCGTCATGTCTGCAACAAGTAACATTCATCTCGCTTTTGTTATTATTTATGTAGGGATAATGACATATTTAGTGAGTTATTCTTGCTAAGTTATATTTTAGGCTATCTTTTACAATATTATTGTTCTTTACTAGTAGCTTCTGTGGATTAGCTTTTGTTCAATATAATTATCTAATTTTGTTTGTTCTGTTTTGTGTTGTATTTGTAAATGGCGATATGACTGTTGAGGCAGCACACTAATATCAAGGGACTGAAGTGAGAATTATTACTATCATCATCATCATTGCTGCAGCATTTCTTGCTTGTATCAAAACCTATATGTCTAATGTCAGTTGGCTAGTGTTTATTGTTAATTGTATCTTTTAGGTATATTTCCAAGTTTAGGTTTGTTGTAGGGTTTCTTATATTGATGAAAATATTACAATATGTGTGAAAGAATGGAAGGAACTATAAATACTGGACTCAATGGATGTTCCTATTAGGGAAATGCATGTTTATTTTCTTCTAGAATAATTAATCCTTTGGAAGCATGAGCAGGGGTAGTGGCCATGCGGTCTGAGGCGTGGACCTTGTGCCACTTGGTCGCTGGGACCGTGGGTTCGAATCCCACTCAAGCCATGGATGTTTGTTCTCGTCTTTCTGTGTTGTGCTGTCCTGTGTACAGGTAGAGGCCTTGCGATTGGCCGATCCCTCGTCCAAGGAGTCCTACCGAATGTCTATAGATCAAGGCAACGGAAAATTGGGACCCGCAGTGCTCAGGCACTTGAAGAACGGGATGTTCCCATTATCCCAGTTGGAAGTATGAGTTCATCTGAATAATATTTAAAAGTTCAATTCATACTTCCCAAGAAAACACATGTCTCTGTTAGAAAGATCAGTTGTTCAGTGCTGTTTATGAAAATAATCCCTGTATATTCTGAGATTTTTAAAAAAGAAACATAAATACAATCTATATTTAAAATGCAGAGTTATAAAATTTTAAAGCATGTGATACATATAGTTACTACAGTGTTTTAAAGTGTTAAACAATTTATGCCAAATTTAGGTTTTGAGTATTCTTGTTTGTTGTAAATGTCATACGGAAGAAGAAACATCCCTTGTGAATGTGAGGTTTTACCTCGCAGGAAGTTGGCTGAGACTAAACAGAGTCACATAATTATGATCCATCCTCATGGACAAAGGCAGGCATGCTCATTGCCTGATTTTGATCTTTATTTTCAAGAGATCAGAATGTTCTGGGCATTAGGCAGGATTACTCCACAATGAAGTCTAGCTTATGAACATTGTTTTTATCCATAATTGTAATCATAATTACAATTGTAATGGTTACTTTTTTGACTCTGAAAAGCTATGCATTACTTTTCTTAAATTTTGAATACTGTTTTGTGAATTTACGTTTAATGAATTTATAATAATTTTCTATCAGCCACCATAAAGATTGGAACTTTGGCACATTCTGGAATAATTTATTAGCTGTCTTTAGGATTCAGTGTGCATTATGGTGATAAGATGTGATCATGAATTAAATTGGACTATTTTATTTTTCGTCGTACTTCAGCGTGCCCCTGGTTTAACATGTCTTGTCTCCCAGTCATGTACATTCCATTCTTCTGTTATATTCTTCTCACTATAGTCTGTCAACTGCTTCTTCGCCTTCCTACTAAACCTACTCACTCTCAAGTCGATCTATCCTCTCTCGCCGGTTCTCTGCTTCTTCCGCAAGTTTTGCTGACGTCTTCACACCCTCCCCGGACTTCTGCGTTTTCTCCATAATGGCACACGCACGTAGAACAAAGGCTGGCACTGTTTCTTGCTTCTCCTGTTTCGGAATGTCCACTAGAGTCCAGTATTGGGTCTCCAAACGAATCACTTCCTGCAGACAGAGAAGTCAATATAAACTGAAAGTACCTTTCAAGATATTTTCGAAAATAGTAGTACATTTTGCTATCTGAGGTTCTCACGGTGGCGAAGATGTGAATTATGATCTTTTGTATTGTAACTCCGTGTGGTCGTGTAAGATTTACAAAATTTTCGAACTTCGAACGACAGTACTACATTAAGAAGCTGATAGTCTCTGAAATGTTCACCTTACATGGAACTCAAGGGCACATTACCATTTTGACAACAGCCAACCCATAGACCCTTACGTCGGATGGTTATTCCAGTGCACACCCTATTTTTTTAAAGATTTCTTTTAATATTTTATGTCCAGTTTAAAATCACAACGCCCTTGAGGCAAGTGCTGCAATTAGATTTTGTTGTAAACTGATGGACGTTTAACGCGAAAGACTTACGGATGAGCCTGCTATCCCAGACCGTAAAGACTGATTCCCTGTAAATACAAGACTGGAAGATGTGTGCAAGGAACAGATTCCTGCCGCTGAGGCCTATAGATCGAGGTTATCGTCGCGTAGGACCAAAGTTTGGAACTGCAGTATAAAAAGTTTGCATTAACACAGGTGAATATGTTGCATTGGTGGGGAAAAAAGAAGTGCGTACATAATTTCAGTTAGGGAACTTCCTGTAAAGAGACAATTTCGAATACCGGCACGTAAATGGAAAGATGCTATAATAATAGATCTTGCAGAAATGGGTTGTGTGTTGCGAACTGGGTTGGATAAACTCAGGGTTGTGTTCATTGGTGTTTTCTGTGGCGACTTTAACTTTTAAGTTTGACAAAAACAGTGAAATAATGTTTGCTAGGGAGGTAGTTGTTGAAGGTCTTTGCGAGCGCCTGCAACGTTGTGTTCAAACTATCCGCTTGACAGGAGTGCCAGAGAAGTTGCTGCACCAGCACGGCGACTGTGTGTCTTCGGAGAGTTGAGATAGAATCACAAAATTCTACAGATGTGATTCATACTAATCATGCCTCCGTTTCGAGCTTGTGTTTTACTTGAAGTAGTCTTGTGATTTCTTCAGCTTGCGTCAATGTTTTAAAGGAATATTGGAAAACTCTATACGTTTGTCTATGCCCTCTGATTCTATGGAGTAGAATCTTTATTGAAAAACTAATAGCTTGTATTTTCATTGTCTTCTTTGCAAGAGTTTACCATTGGTCGCTTTCCGATGCTACATGAGTCCAGTTCACACCCTTGTACCGAATTTCTTTGAGACCCATTTTAATGTCTTC